CCTCAGTTTCTGTCAGTATTAACTTCTGTGGTACATTGCAGATACATTTTTTTTTTTACAGATTTTATCTCGTGAATAAAATTAATTATGTTCAGAAGACAGTATCTTTTGCACAATCTGTCTGTGTTACTAGACCTTTAAAGATACCAGTACAGCACAGAAGAATAATAAAAAGCTATTAATCAAAATAACCTTTGGGATGTTTACATTCATTGGGATGTTTACATTCATACATTTGTCAGTATTCATATAATGTCCCTAAAACTTGTTCCTGACTTTTAAAAAACTAGACAGACATTAAACAGCAATGGATGATGTCACTTTTTTCTCATTTTGTTGTTCAGTAACTTCTGATATTGTGACTCTTTTTGTATATCCACACATACAACATGTGTCTGTTTTTATGTAACAGCCCCATGAACATTTTATTAAATATTCTTACAGAGCCTTTCTAATGAACGTGATCCTAATCTGTAGTGGTTAGAAAGCTATAAGATAAATAATAAAAACCTTTATTGATACCTAGCAGGGAAATTCAGTTGTTACAGCAGCGCAAGGACAGATAGTACAGACATATAGAGAAAGCAACAGAAAGAAATATTTGGAAGTATGTAAAACTAAAACAAGAATATGGAAAACTATACAGGAGTGTCTGGGGACAAAAAAAAATCAATGTAAAGTAACAGTGGTGGGATTAAAAGTAGCAGAGTCAACCAGTCTTTGTTAACAGTGTACACCAGACTGATGTATAATTCAGTAATGGTACTTGTTTGTTTGTTTGTATTGATATAGCATTGTAGTATAAGTATAATATAGTATATCATGCAAAATTCCGTGTAACATATAAAAAAGGTATTTTTCTTGAGTAAAAAATCTGAAGTTTAGGGAAGATAGCTAAAATAAATTATAATTCCTGACAGATTTACAAACATTTTTGATTTGACCACTGTAGAAGTCTGAAGTACACAAATACAATGGCTGACTATTTCATTCTGAAATGAACAAAAATCGGCAAATAAGATTGCTGAGAGAATCTCTGTTTTGCAAATTAAAAAATAATCCAGAGCACAGGCTCTTTATAAAGATAAGACAGAAAACAAATTATTATTTATTTATTTATTTCTATATAAATTATATATAAAGCTGAAAATAACTGTGAAAAAACTGTTTATTTGAGTTTATTTTAAATAACTTTTATTTGTCAGTTTTCTTTGAGGTGATCTATCACAGTGGTTCTCAACCTGTGGTCCAGGGACCCCCAGGTGTCCTTGAGGGAGTTCCAGGGAGTCCCTGTTTTGAAGCCGCAAGGCTGGCATTTTAGCCATCACCATCTTAGGTTTTTGGAGCCAGAAGTGACCATATTTGGATGAGAGGGTGGAGCTGTGGAGGAGCAAGGGGTGAATGTGACTCATAAGCCCCTTTAACAATGCCTGTTAAAGGCGGAAATATCGTGCCCTCATTCCGCCTCACCGTTCTTAAATAAAAAAATAAATAAAATATACTATTGCAGAATGGGGGAACAGAGTTGTCTCACCTGTAAGCCTGCAGCTGAGGTAATAACAGCGCAAAATCAACATCTGTGTAAAGGGACAGCCGGCAGGACGGGATCATGGGCGGCACGGGCATGTTGTTTTCATGATGTGTTATGTGTACAACCTACTGCTGGGAGATTCAAAAAGCAGCTAGCAGCAGTTAGCCACAGACAGGACAGGGACCAGCAAGCAGGCATGTCAGAAAATTGGGAAAGCAATAAGCACCTTGCCCTCAGTGCAAAGGACGAGATTAGCAGCCATTTAACAGGGACAGTAAATTATTGTTATTTCCTTGTCATGCCATTGTTACTGGTTACAAAGAGCTGCTGAAGCATAAGTTATATGTTACACTAGAGGCAGACGCTGTGTTATATGTCACTCCTCTCACATCTCTTTTTCTTCCAGGATGCCAGCATGCTATCTACAATCATACACTGGAACAGGATTATAACGCCATTGTTTGGTTCTCAATAAAAAAGCAAAGGCGGCATGAAGAAGGAACTTTGTAGCAGCCCTAACCTGTGATCTGAGCATAAAAGAAGGCCTATAGACTGTGGTGATTCCTTGCAGACAGCCTGTCAATCAAAGCAGCCCGCCCTTAACAAGCCCACCCTTCATTTTAAGCTTTAATAAAATGTAAACAGGTGAGTTATGTCAAAATTCTCCCCCTGTACAGTTGTCATGAGGAAGGAAATTAGCTACAGAGACCAAAACTGTTTTTTTGAAGCAGGCTGTAAACATGTTTATTCCTGCTGTGAAGTTGGGCACTTAAACATGGGAGTCTGTGGGGATTGACTGGTTTCTGGAGCCAGCCTCAAGTGGACATTCAAAGAACTGCAGTTTTGGGCACTTCGCATCAGCTTTGTTTGTCAGCCCCAGAGGTTGCTGCTTGTTCTGAATCTGATCATAGGTTTCACTTCCTCCATGGTTATTTCCTCAACTGTAGTACTCTGATCTTATCTAACGAGCAAATTCTCTACCTGAAGTGAAATCTTATCAAATGGGGGTCTGTGACTTAATGTGTATCAATTTAGGGGACCTTGAAAACCACTTTTCTATCATTACACTTGGTGTGTGTGGTGGGATTATTGAGGACATGACTGTACAGAGTGCAACATCCCACATTTTCACTACAACTTGTACACATTAGGGTTTTTCCATGAATTAAGTGCTTCCGAGAAAACAAACAGTTATTAGTTGTTTATTTGTTGTTTGTTGAAGGTTCAGGGTTGTTTTAAAACATAAAATGATTTTTCCTGAACTCAGCTTTGTTAAAGGTATTTTTTTTGGTTTCAGGGCGCAGTGAGGCTGTTCATTGACACTAAATACAGTCTAAAAGGATTTTATTTTGTATTATTCTTCTTTATTTGATGGATACACGAGACCAGATTCACGGATCATCGTGATGTTTTGACAGGTTGACGCCGACAGAAAGTCAGGTGACATCATCAGGTGGTTTCCCATCAGGAGTTCAATGGCAGGTACATAAATCGTCCACAGGAGGGCGCTGTCACACTGCTGACTTCTCTGTGAAGATGAACTCAGAGATAAACTCAGGTATTGATCAGCAGTGAGCAGAAGGTGATTTCAACCAGAGTCCAAGCCTCAAAGTCATAAACAATATAAATCCTTTGTTGTCTGGATAAAAGATGTGAAACAAATTGAATTCTTTGTGTAATAATCGTGGTTAATACTGTCTCAGCTGGAGAACAACATATCTGAGTTTTCTTATCATACCTAAATACTATGACCTTTTATAAAGTGCTTCAACAACCACAAGTAGGGATGGAAACAGAATATAAAGCAGGTCTATTCAATTGGCGGCCGGCGGGCCACATGCGGCCCAGAGGCAACCTCTGAGTGTCCCGGGCAGGGACTGGTACCGAGACCTGGTGTTAAACGGCCCTGGGCAAAATTAATCAAGAGACAATAAGAGACAATACTTTATAACGTTACTTTCTTCACTCAGTGTTGTGATGTCAGGAGGAATATTTATTGTTGACATGTTACATTTCTTTCCAGTGAGATATTATTGAGTTTATATAGTGGCTATGTTGTTGTAAACATCACTGTTGCTGCCATTGACTGTATAAAACTATATCCTGTGTATTTGACCTCAAAGGAAAACGTAAGGAGGTGAGGTGTGTGCATGTGTGTGTGGAGAAGAGAGGGGAGAGGGAGATGCAGGTAGAGAGATAGAGTGTGTTATTAGTTACTGTTAATGCCACTTATTATGCTTCTGTCCACTGATAGCTCTTTTTTATTCTGTTACTGCATTATGTTGTGCTCCTCAGTGTTTGGCCCATCCACAGTTTCTGGTTTTAAAATCCGGCCCAATTGAATTTGTAATTGAACAGCCCTGGTGTAAACGCTACCAAAGCAAAAGCAAAATGAAAAACAGCATCAAGTGTTTAAACATCAACAGAGGTGTTACATTTCTCTTGTTGGAGCAGTTTTCAGCATCCACAGCTATCAGCAATTTAGCCTGTGGGACACAGCTGACCTGATCTGATGTTTGTGATTAAGAAGCTCTCTGACTCTCTTTCTGCTTTGGCTTGATTCCTTTGCTTCTTGTTTTCATTTCAAAGTCAAACACCGAGGTAAAATATTGTGTCATGGAAACTATCTTGTGTTTCATTATAATTTGTGTGCTGATAGTAGGAATAATGTGAGCCGAGACCAGTGTGTAGGCCTGGACTGAAACTAAATATAATACCTTATCATCCTAATATACATAAACACCTTATTGGATAGGACTTCAGAAGGGATATAAGATGTTCCCCTCCATCTTATTCAATATTTTGATATTTGATTGCACACTGATCTGTTTAAAATAACACATAATAACGGTCCACACTGAGAAACTGTACTGCTGCACATCAGCTGCAGGTTTGAACCACTGGAGGGAGCACCTCACCACATTTACTCACTCTAACATCAGTGAAATCATCACACTTGGATTTGTTGTTTGTCGTAGACATTTTTGATCAGGACTGTTTTAAATGCCAGCAGGACAGCCACACAGAACAAAAGAACAATAAGACACTACTGCATCCCTACAAACTGCAGAGTATCTGTAGCTGACAGTAACCTCTGACCTCCCAGAGGATTTAATACATGTCTGCACATTACATCACATCAGCCCACACATCATTATACAAGATGTGAGCAGCAGAAGGGTTAATACTCCTCTCATATGTGAACAAAGTGGAGAAAACAGAATAAAGCCCCGCATGTCTGATGTGTCCCCATCCTTTTTACACAGGCTGAAATAACATCACTTTACTTTCACTTTCATTCATAACCTATTTCACAAAGTTTCACCGAGTAACAAGTGATGCTCAGCCGAGTTATAGTGACGTTGGTGCTCAGCCTAAATTCCCATTGGCTCAGATGGAGGTTGAAATCAGTCTCCTCCTTCTTTTTTTTGGTGAAGTTATTAGATCCCTCCTTGTTACCAGCACTTCAGCCCCACTCTTCGAGGTGTTAGGTTGGTCTGTGTTTGTGTCAGTAAACAAACATTTAAACATTAACTCGGTGTTTTATCAAAGCTTCAGATTCGACAACTCACAATGCAGGCCTGGATTCCTCCGCTTCTGCTTCTCGTGAGCTTTCATGGCGCCTCGGCAAGTAAGTTAAGATTTTTTTTCTAAGTTTCTTTTTCTTTTTTTTTTTTTTAAAAAAAAAAAAGCTTCATGACTTTATATATTGTATATATGAATGTGAGGTTCTTCTGATAGTCTTTGATGTTTAGTTAAAATACTTCCATGCAGCAGATCAAAGAAATGTTTTTTTAAATAAATAAATCCATTATCTTAAAGTTCACGTTTAATCCTGACTGAGCAACTCATTGATCATTACGTTTTTCTATTTAGCCATAAACACTACGTAAGTGTATTTATTTTCCCTGACTTCCCTTTCCTTTATGTCACTATTATTTTATAACATTAGGACCATTAAGACCGATACGGGATGATCGATATTAATGCTAAAATGGCAGCAGGACTACAAAGCACAACACAGTCCAACACGCAGATAAATAAGTTAAATATAAAGAAAACATAAAATAAAGTTGTTAAAATAATCATTTGTTTAGTTTATTTATTTATTTTTACATAAAAACACGGATTGCGTTTATTCAGTGCTGTTAATCATGACTTAGTTTAGAAATTATGTTTAAAAAAAAACATTAACTTATTTCCCCAATCTGGAAACACATTATTCTATTTCAAATTAACCCCTCCACAGGCTGCTGTGAAGGTTTTAGATTTTTAGTTTTAACCAACAAGTCAGTTGATGCTGATGTTTTCCTGCTGAGGCCAAACAACTTCCTGATTTGTGGGTACAGTATTTAATATCGATCACTAATGTTCTTAATCAACACTACATACATTGTAACATGATACCTTACTTATTGATCATCTTTTTGCTCACATCAGTGTACACTCCAACACAAAGTATTAACTCTAATCTGTAACCAAATAATAGGCCACAGATCTCATGATTGAAAAGATTAATAATAAAATAATACTCTTTATGACTTGGCCTCCTCTTATAATAAAGAAAAACAAACAAAGGTCTTTGTGAATAATTTGACAACATGTGCACACAGCAGAACACACATAATCAGTAATGATCAGTAAGGTTGTATTATCTTATATATATTCTCCTAAATGATATGATATATAAATAATCTTTTAAGCCGTTTTCCAGCAGATTTCACAATTTGACTTCACATTCTGAAAAACACATCTGCTTTTATGAAGTACATCCATACTGAGCTTTGTTATCAGTATTGGCCTCAAAAACCCAGTGTCTGTCAGGCAATGCTGTTTAAATATTTGATGTATTAACAGGGTGGATTTATGGATTTATTCTTGGACAAATTTGCAGAACAGTTTTGGTCTGGCAGCTTAACACAGAAATATGATGTACATGCATTCAGACAGCAGAGGACTCCACAGATGATTATTTGAACGTCAAAACACAGACACAGAAAGTTAATTCTGTTGATACTTAAAAAAAAACTACAAGGATAAACTTTTAAAATCAGAATTAAGAGCAAATAAACATCAGTTCATGGTGGAGAAAGTGTTGTATAAGATTTGAATTCATTATATAACTGATACCAGTGGAAACTGACAGAATGACTACATGAGAAATGAGAGAGAACTTTATTAAATATAGAGTTGTGTCCCTTAACATTTATCTGGGATTGTCTGTATTGAAATACACAAGATTTGGTTCTATACAAAATATTGGTTATCAAAGATATTGGCATTAAAACTTTAATATAATTCTTAAGTTACATAAATCACGATATATGAAAGTGAGGGACACACAGAGCGGGGTCAGGTATTTTCTTTCCTGTTGGTTGTATTAGAGGAAAAAAAATCCACAAAGCCTCTGACAACAACATAAAAATAAAATCAGTTAATGCTTGAATATGAAAAATGACAAAAAAAAAATAGAAAAGAGCAAAACAACCCACTTGGAAAATGTGTCAGGAGAACTGCAGCAAGTTTTAGCTTCACTAAACTCAGAGTTCAAATTTATGATTCAAAACTTCAGGAAGAAAAAACATAAATTGTTTGTAGTATAAAATGGAGACCAAAAGGGATGTTAGGTAATCAGCAAAAGTTTTAATTTGTTTAATATAGAAAATAAAGATATACTTAAATGCAGCGGTTATATTTTGGTCAGAGGTTTGTGATGTCAGATTTCAGACTAATCTGATAATGAGGAGTGTGATGATGCATCCTGAAGAATAAATGACTAACTGGAAACTAAACTAGTTTGACAAGTTTCACTTCGAGATATTCAACACTAGATTTAAAAGATATTTTTTACAAGCTGCTTTCTGTCAATGAAAGTCAGGAACACAACTGCATGTCCTAAATATGTGACTCATTTAAATTTTATTCCAGAATGAATTCATTTTTCAAGAGGAATTCATGAGAAATATCAAAGAGTTCATGGAGCAAAATGTCTATGAATCTATCTTTGGATTTATTGAGTGAACAGCAGAGATAATGAAGATCTCTTGAATGTACTGTAATTCCTTTTTGTTCTGTGTACAAGGAAATAACATTGTTTAGTGATTTATGAAACTGACAGATAAGAACTGAAATAATTATTCTATTATTATCATTCTTACAGTGACTCACTCTCTGAAGTATTTCTACACTGGCTCTTCTCAAGTCCCAAACTTCCCAGAGTTTGTGATTGTTGGGTTGGTTGATGAAGTTGAAATGGTTCATTATGACAGCAACACCAAGAGAGCAGAACCCAAACAGGACTGGATGAGCAGAGTCACAGCAGATGATCCTCAGTACTGGCAGAGACAGACTGAGGGATTAATTGGTGCCCAGCAGACCTTCAAAGCCAACATTGAGATTTTAAAGCCACGCTTCAACCAAACTGGAGGTTTGTTTATGTTTCACTTGTACTGATAAAATGTTGTTTATATTTTCATCCTCTATATTAGTAAACATATGTCTCTCTCTCTCTCTGTCTCTCTGTGTGTCCCTTTCTGTCTGTCTGTCTCTCTCTGTCTGTCTGTCTCTGTCTGTCTGTCTCTCTCTATCTCTCTTTTTTTCCGCTTCCTGTGCGCATGCTGTGAGTGAGGGTGGTGGAGGGCATCTGAAGTGTGTGAGTTGGTTCCTTTTATTTGACTCTTACTCTCTTTTATTCTCGCTTTCATCTCTGGTTAAATGTGTCTGTGTTTTATTGATCTTGTCACTGGGTTTTGCGAAAGTAGTTTTGTAGTTGTTTCTGCCAGTGGTGTGAGTCAAACCATCAGCATGGCTGCAGCTGGCTCAGGTTTAGACAGGCTCACGTGTCACCATGCGATCAAACTTTCGCCAGCAGTCAGCTGTTCAGTCGAGGAGTGTGGTTTGGCAGTCTGAGAAGCTGTGGGCTATGGAAGTGTTAAATCTGCCTCCAGGATGAACAGCGCTATCATAATTTTTCTGAAGTTGTGATTCAGGGTGCTTTTACTCCCGTGTTGTCTCTTGTTAATCCTGCAAAGAGAGTTATCATTTCTAACGTGCCCCTGTTCATCAGAAACGAGCTGTTGGAGAATGAACTGGCCTGACACGGGCGGTTAGTGACCCCGATTAAAATGATTCCCCTCGGCTGCAAGTCTCCTCATCTGAAGCATGTCATGTCTTTCAGGAGAGTTCATATGGTGTTAAAAAAGAATGATGAAGAACTTAACCTGGTCTTTAAGTTCAGAGTTGATGATTTTGACTATGTTACTTCTGAGACGATGAAATGCTTTGGATGTGGCACTGAAGGCCATTTGATTCGTTCATGCCCAAAGAGAGCAGGTGAGCGCCGGTCAGCTGCGGCTGACGCGGAGCCGCCGTCTGAGGCGGTGGGTGCCGCAGCAGCATCACTGACGCAGTGCGATTCACAGGGAGACACACAGGGCACGCAGGAGAAAAACAGTGATCAAAGTGAACCAAGTGCACAACACAACGCACATCTAAACACACCACAGAGTGAGGACGAGGGCGGTTTTGTGAGTCAGCAGGGAGATCAGACTACAGTCAAGGAACAGGCCGGGCAGACAGCCACCAGTGTCGCCGAGTCTGTTTTAGATGATGATGACGATGATGATGATATAGTGATTGATGATGATGTTCTAAAGTTACCACTTAAGAGGAAAAACCCAGAGACCAAGAGCAGTAAAAAAGCCCTTAAAGTGACAAAAGAAAACATGTGCAGTCTCCTTCTCTCAGGTAGAGGAGAGCACTCTCAGCACACAGGGAGGTGACAGTGAAGCATGTGAAATGATGCAGGTGGATCAGGGCAGTGGTTTTTCCTTTACTAGGATCAGGGCTTTTCTGCAGGAAACAAAAGGGATGAGGTCAGTTAAGGTGGAAAATTATTCCCCTGATTTAAAACTGTTTCTTGATTCTTCCAAACTTTTCATGAAGAGCACAGACAGCATCGGGCAGCCTACTTTCACTGATCAAGAGAGTTTCCGTTTAAAGAAAGTGTTACAGAAGGTCAGAGCACAAATTGCAGGCGATGAATAGGTCTGTGTCTCTTTCTTTTCTTCTGGTGCGCTGTTTTCTCTCTTCTCCTTGAGGGTGGCTTTACTTCCAACATGTGTGATGTAAGGCTGGGCACTTTAAACATCAATGGTGCAAGAGATGATGTCAAAATGGTCTCTTTATATAGTTTAATTAATGCAAAGAAATTAAATGTAGTTTCTCTTCAGGAGACTCAGCACTGTTGACAGTGAGGCTGATTGGAGGAGGGAATGGAGTGGGGAGGTTTTCTTAAGTCATACGAGCAGTAGCAGTGGTGGGGTTGGAATATTGTTTTCCAAGGACTTCTTGCCCATATCCTGTGTCGCTGATGAAATTATTAAAGGCAGGTTGTTGAAAATAAGGGCTGAGTTTGAAAAGGTGAAAATGGTGTTTATAAATGTTTATGCTCCACCTGTAGGCACAGAGAAATTAGCTTTCTTGGACACACTGAATAATGTCATTAAAAACTGCAGCAGTGAGGAATATTCGTTTATAGCTGTCGATTTTAACTTCACAGAGAACGCAGCCTTAGATAGGAACCATCGGGAACCTTGCACAGCTTCCAGCAGCAGTCTTGCGAAGATAGTTGAGACATCTGAGCTGTGTGACATTTGGAGGCATTGTCATCAAAACCAGCGACAGCACACATGGACTCACAGCAGAGATAACTCCGTGTCTTTGGCCAGACTTGATAGGTTTTATTGTTTCAAACATCAGGTTAATGTTGTCGAGGGCTGTACTATTTTTTCCTGTAGGAATATCAGATCATTCTCTTGTACAGGCTTCCATTTTTATAAAAGATGCGCAAACGCAATAGTGCATATTGGCATTTTAATGTGGGGCTTTTGTCTGACACTGTTTTTAAAGGTGCTTTTAAGTGTTTCTGGAAAATTTTCAGAGAGACAAAATCTGAGTGTAGCTCACTTCAGCAGTGGTGGGATGTAGGAAAAGGTAAAATAAAAGAGCTGTGCCTGCAATACACTTTCAGTGCCACAAAGGTCATGACTCGGTCTGTGGAAGCTCTGGAGAGAGAAATAGTGGAGCTCCAAAGTTTGGCGGACTCCACATGAGATGGAGAACATATTCAAGTTCTCAAAAGGAAAACTCAGCTCTATCTAACCTGCTGGGTTTCTCTGCTAGAGGGGCTCTGGTCTGATCTAGGTTTCAGACTCTCTCTCAGATGGATGCTCCCTCTCACTTTTTCTTTGGGCTGGAGCGTAAGAATTGTCACAGGAGACTGATGCACTCCCTACGGTTTGACGCTGGGCAGCTGCTGCAGGAGTCTGCTGAGATCCGTCAGTGTGCAGTTTATCAGAAGCTGTTCAGGAGTGAGTTTCTGGAACATCCAAGGGTGTTACAGTCCTTCCATGAAGATCTACCAAAGATCTCTGTGGAGGCCAATGCAGAGCTGGAGGCTGAGATCTCCGCTGAGGAGCTGCGTGAGGAGCTGCAGAGCCTGGAGAGTGTGAAGGCCCCCGGCATAGATGGACTGCCAGCAGACTGCGATAAAGCTTTCTGGCCTGTGATTGTACAAACCACCGTTAACAAAGAGGGCTGGAGACCTACAGTGGAGAGTGTTGCACGGAGCTGTGGCTGTCAATGCGTTTGTGTCTGTCGTAAATCCTAATGTTATTGACAGCTGTCCTTCTTGCACCACAAGAGAGACTGTTTTTCACTGTTTTTTAGATTGTTGCAGGCTCAGTTCACTGTTTGGTCTTTTAAGGAATTTATTCAGAGTGTTTGGTGAGGTCATCTCTCAGCAGGTTTTTATTCTTGGTTTTAAACTACAGGCAACAACATCGCACAAAGTGTCAGCTGTTCAAAAATGGCTATTTATGTGAGCAGAAGGAATAAAATGGAGCTCTTGTTAGACTGTGACACAAAAGGCATTTTCATTTGAATGCTCAAAGCCAGATTAAGACTGGACTACAGTTATTATTGTGCTGTGAGAGATGTGGACACATTTATGGACATATGGGGCTACAAACGTGTTATGCTCTGTTAAAACAGACCAACTCCTGTATGGTCATGTGTTGGGGTAAGAATGCCTCATACCCCCCACTCTGCTGGTTTTGTTTTGTTTTTTCTTTTCTTTTTTTTGTGTGAAAACTAAGATGTGTTGATTATTGATTGCTGGTGTTTGTGTTGGTATCTATTTTCTCGTGATAACTAATAAAGGTTGTGTTAAAAATTCAAATTCTCTCTCTCTCTCTCTCTCTCTCTCTGTCTCTGTCTCTCTCTCAGGTGTCCACATTTACCAAAACATGTATGGCTGTGAGTGGGATGATGAGACTGGAGAGGTTAATGGTTATGATCAGTTTGGTTATGATGGAGAAGACTTCGTAGCATTTAACGTGAAGACAGAGACATGGATCAGTCCAAATCAACAGGCGCTCATCACCAGACAAAAGTGGGACAATGACAAAGCTTGGATAGCACAGCAGAAACACTACCTCACTCAGATTTGTCCTGAGTGGCTGAAGAAGTACGTGGACTATGGGAGAAGCTCTCTGCTGAGAAAAGGTAGACTCGCATGACCTGATGTAGTTTCATGAACATAACAATCTTCATGTGTCTCCTCTGTTTCTAACCAGCAGTAACATCACAGTGAATATGAGCCAAAATATACAGACACATTTTCTCTTTCTCTAATGTTCTCACCTCTCTTCAACTCTCTGCCTCCCTCTCTCTGAACTCTGTTTCCTGCCACTCTCTCCCACAGGCTGATCACCACTCTCTCTTTCTCTCTGTCATGTTTCTTTTTGTCTTAATTTTTCTTTCTATCTTTTTACTGTCTTTGTAACAATCACTGTCCTCCCCCCTTTCAAATCTGTCTCACTCTCTCACCTCTCTTCATCTGTCTTATTGTCTCCTCTGTCTCTCCCTTCTTTTGTCAGTTACACTTCAGTGAGGTTTATTTGCATAGTATACATATATACTGTATAGTGCATGTGTTACTAAGGCATTTGAAATACATTACATTTGAGAAATTGTATTATAAAATACAGTTGATAACAATAAAGAACCCATGAACTGTCTTACTCTTCACTTTGCAGACCGTCCCTCAGTGTCTCTCCTCCAGAAGTCTCCCTCCTCTCCAGTCAGCTGCCACGCTACAGGTTTCTACCCAAACAGCGCCATGATGTTCTGGAGGAAAGATGGAGAGGAGCTTCATGAGAACGTGGACCACGGAGAGATCCTCCCCAACCATGATGGATCCTTTCAGATGAGCAGTGACCTGAATGTTTCATCAGTCCCACCTGTAGATTGGGAGAAGTACGAATGTGTGTTTCAGCTCTCTGGTGTGAAGGAGGACATCATCACCAAACTGGACAAAGCAGTGATCAGGACCAACAGAGGTAAGACTTCTATCAAATGTAATTTGCTCTGTAGTTAATTATGATTATTATATTGTGCTGAATACAGCTTTGTTCTTGTGGGCTTTTGTAGTTTCAGCTGATTGATGACCCAAAAAATTACTTAAATTTTCTTAAAGTATTTCAGTTTTTCACTACAAAATGGGACTCATGCAAGAACCACTCATAGTAACAGATTTGTATAAGTGATGTAAGATCTGTGGTGTTGACTGATTTTCTCATATTTAGATTCTCTCTTAGATATGAATAAAATTCGCAAGTGGTCTAGACCTGTTGTATGAATCATATACAATATATTGCATATACATGCAAAAATTAGTTGACTGTATTCCATATTATTATCATGACTTACCAATTCAAAGAGAGTTTTTATGCCTCCATGCAGGTGACGCTGTGGCTAAAGGCCTCATGTTTTCAGGTTGTATGTCGGTCTGTCATTCTTGTGAACACAGTATCTTAAGATCACCTTCCAGAAATGTGGCACAAACGTCCACTGGGATTCAACAATGAACTGATTAGATTTTGGAAGCCAAAGGTCACTGTGACCTCACAAAAGGATTCACTAATAATGACAAATTTTACACAAAGGTCTAATAGGATAAAATGGTAAAGTGATGACATTTTATATCCAGAAGGTCAAAGGTCAACTTCACTCGCAAAAAACACTTTTCTGGACGTTACTCAACGCCATAACTCAGATACTGATACTCAAATACTGAACCGGTGACACTAATCTGTGCTAATTGTATAGATCCTCTGTGCTCACATGTTGAGACGTGTGAAGCAACCTTGTCTTAGATTTTGTAGCTTCTTTGCAGAAACATCTATATTTGAAACGCTGTCAACTGTTGCGTCTACATATGGGTCTGAACAGACATGGATGTAAACTCCAACTGCAACTTGACTGGTTCACAGAGATATATAACTGCCAGTTGGTAATTCCAGGTTTTGTTTTGTTTTTGAAGATTTTATGATATTAATGGCATACTAAGGCACATCAACTGATACTTTTCAGTTGTTAGACATTATTTAGCATCTCATATTAAATCATTTCCTCTATTTCTGTCACAGTACAACGCTGATCTGATGACACTTTGTTAACAGCTTTATTATTAATATTTTCTAACTTCTTGCAGTCTTCTAATCCTATGATACTGACATTTGTTTGCTGATTTCCAACCCCAGAAATTGACACTCCTCAGTATGGAATTCTTTCTTTCACTCTTTGGTAACATTTTGTAAATGAAACTTTTTGACAAGCAGAGCAGAACAGGCTGCCTTAAATTGTGTTTTTTGAGGTGTTAATTACTGATGAAATCTCATGAACACAACATGCTGCTTTTTGAGTCTTTGTAAATCTCTGAATTACACAGTACAAGGTCAGAAATGCAGCATTGAAAACATCATATTATTTATTGGTTTACACTTTGCTAAACTCAAGTGGGCATACGTTTTGGTCATTTTGAAAAAGGCATATTTTGCTAAAGTTGTTTTTTTGTTTGTTGTTCAAATCATTATTTCTTCAGTTATCAGTCATGAAACATGATAAAACAATAGCTAAGTATATTTTATAGACACAGTTTTTAAGTAATGGCCAAAGTCATTTACTGAACTTCATCTTTACAGGTTGTGGTTTTTTTGTTTTTGTTTTTTTATGCTCTGCAGAAAAGCCCAGTGACATGACCGTTCCCATCATTGCTGCAGTTGTTGTTCTTGCTCTTGTACTCATCGCTGTCATTGGATTCGTGGTGTACAAAAAAAAGAATGGTGAGAGAATCAAGGATTTCCAAATTTGACTTTTCCAATTCAGATACTTTTTAGTCTTTGAATGAATGCATATCCAGATTGCAAAGTGAACAAACTTTAGATCCAAAGACCCTCCACCTTGTTAGTACAATTTGTTTTTTTGTTTGTTTGTTTTGGTTGTTATTTTTTACATTTTAGATTTTGAGTGAATTTAAAAAAAAAATGTCTCTCACTGAGAGCTAAAGTTGATTAAAACTTAATCCCTCATTTGCTCAAATGGGAAGCAACCAGCAGAGCCACAGTACCCTCTGTTGTTTAGTCGTAGTCACTGATCATACAGTAGTTCTCTGATAGTTACAAAGTCTGTGCTAAAGTTGATGAGCTGCCTAAATTCTTCAAAGTTGTTAAGAGATAAAAGTTGATAGTCGTATCCAGTTTTCAAAATTGAAACAAGTGTTAATTCAATGCACAACACAGTTGGAAGTAGCCACCAGTGAATAGTGTAAGACTCAGAGCCACTGTGTCATTATAATATGACCCTAGCTTAATGGTGTTAAAATAAAGATGTTAACAGAACTGTAAAAGGTATTTCTAATCTTTTTAAGTAGGTAGGGCGTTAGAGTTAATGGTGAAAATATATTTGCAACTGTGGCATCTGACATCTCTTTTGATTTTATTTCAGCTAAGTCCCCTCAACACAGTAAGTATAACTTGTTTTTAATTGTATTTACATGTTTATACTTTGAGTAGATGCTCATATCTATAAACACCGAGTGCAAAAATTTAACTAGTTAATCTAAATTAATTAAACTAACTAATCAAAATTTAAAGCAACCAAGCCAAACACACGTTCAGGTAAGCCTATGTTTTCAGCTACTACTGTCAGTAACTGCTTTTATTCTAATCTGAGACAAGTCAGATCACCTCTTTAACATTGGGTGGGGACCATTTTCAATCTCCGTGAGAGATCTGGCTGTGACTACAGCCTCATAGGGCATATGGGGGGAATTTCCCCCCGGATAAATATTTAAAAACTTACCAGCAAAATATATCGTTTTAGACCATTTAAAAAAAACATATCTTAGATCAAGGGATCCAAAGTTTTGATGACTGAGTGCCACTTTAGGGAGCCAGGGTATAATTGAGGGCCACACAGGAAAAATAATCAGACGGTTACTTTTTTTAATGACATTTTTCATGATATTCTTTCTAACAATTTTTATAAACTGTAAAAGCTGAGAGTGATCTGGCCTTTTAAACACATAACACATGTAACATTCTAATTTTCCACTTTTTTTAATACATTTGGAAAAAAAAGAAAATAAGACTGTGTTTGACATTGATTGTACCTACCCACAGCAGTCGAGCAACAGCTTCTGCTGCTGCACAGCAACACCACTTGCACAAATCATATGCATAACTACAGTACACTGTAATATCATAACTGGTGGTAATAATAATAATTGTAATTTGTTAAAATTTATTTGAGATTATGATTACTTTTGCTAAGGATTATTTTGGATGGCAGTGTGTGATTGCTTGTCGCAGCATAGCAACGTTTTTGTGGTGGGCATTTTAAGTATGTTTGAATATTTGGGGAAGTGTCCCCTCTAATATATATTGTGATTACTTCCTAGAGTTAAATAATATCATGCCAAGATTTGGTCCAGTGAAAGATGCTTACATGCCTCAAAGCCCAACACTGCTCTAAGGGGCTTAGGCAGAACTCTCTCATACCACCACACAGACTCAAGGTTCAATTCTTGTCTGCAAAGGGCGTACAGACTATGGAGAAAAAGGCATTGACGCAGTGGACTGTGTCAAGTTAGAGCACTTCAATCAATATGCCAAACATTTCATAACCACACCAGCTGTTAAAGTATTCATGTCTTTGGCCAAGACCCTGAAAATATTATCTTCCTAACTGTATTTAGTGGAGAAGAAGTATTGAGTTGAGATACATGTGTATTGACATTATAGACACAAAACATTTGTGCAGAGGAAATAATGGCCAAAAACTGAAAAACTGGAAAAAAAAACATCAGTTTATGACTGTCAACCCAGAGCAGTTTGATGTCTGATGTAATGTGCATGTATCTATCTTATTCATTTTACTGTTTAGATTATTTTGTGCTTTGTTCTCTCTAGAGTCAAAGATTTCTTCTTCAAGTGTCTCTTCTACAGAAAGTAGAAACAGCGACACACCATTAATCAAAGGTAACTAATGGTTCTGCACTGGTTATGTTAGTCTGAAATATCACCTGTATTTGTGCATACTCTCTCATACCACCACACAGACTCGGGGTTCACTTCTCGTCTGCAAATGTCTGACAGACTGGGAAGGAAAAGGCATTGTCACAAAAGATGTACTCTGTAAAGTCAGAGTACTTCAATCCATATGGTAGACATTTTATAACCACACCAGCTGTGTAAGTGCTCATGTTTTTGACCAAAATCCTGAAAATATTATTTTCCTAACTGATACTTAGCTGAGATGAAGTATTGTGTTGAGATTCATGAGTGTTGACATTATACACATGTAACATTTGTGTAGAGAAAGTCATGGCCCAAAACTATCAATGTCTGACTGTCTCCCCAGAGCAGTTAAGCGGGTGCAGTTGAACTAGTGTTGCCTTGTCTTGATTATTTTGTTTTGTTTCTGTAGACATGAAGACTTCCTTTGACACTTCTCCTACAGGGACTTTGATCAGCCAATCAGGTTTATTTTTATTTGTCTATCTGTTGGTCTGTCTCTCTGTCTGAGGTTATGTATATGTATCTATACATTGTTTCTGACTTTACTTGATTATTGTTTTGATGATTTTGTGTTTTGTTCTCTCCAGAGTCAGAGACTTCTTCTTTAAGTGGCTCTTCTACAGGAAGTCTAAACAGCGACACACCATTAATCAAAGGTAACTAATGGTTCTGCACTGGCGATGTTGGTCTGAAATATCACCTGTATTTATGCACATTTTGAGAACTTAAAAGCATTTATTTTATTTTCAGTGGTTTCTCGCCGTCACATTTTTTATTAATTTTTTAGAAATCATTACTTTTTAAACAGTTAATTTATGAAAGCCTATGTTTTATCCTGACAGATTTGAGTGACAGTGTGAAGGGGAGGGGGAAATCCACTCCGTAAGACATTGGCAACACTGAAGTTTATTGTCTGCAGTTTCTTCACAATCTGTTATCTAGATAGAAACAAATGTGCCACCTCACCACCAAAATGGTTTGCAGAATACTCATATGGTCAAAAAGTCACAGAACATTGAGGCTTTAAGGCTGCATTAATCAGTATTTGTTTTTAAGATAAGATGCCTTTATTGTCACTATATATAATAAAGGCATCTTATCTTATACACAAATACTGAATAATGAATAATCATTAAAGGGATAGTGCACCCAAAAATGAAAATTCAGCCATTTTCTACTTACCCATATGCTCAGGTGAAGTTTTAGAGTCCTCACAACACTTGCGGAGATCCCAGGGGAGAGGGGGTAGCAACACAACTCCACCTAATGGAGGCTTACGGCGCCCCAGATTCAAATGTCCAAAAACACATAATTGAAACCACAAAATATCTCCATACTGCTCGTCTGTAGTGATCCAAGTGTCCTGAAGCCCCGACATAAAAAGTTGTTTGGAAAAATGTAATTTGAACTCTGTTTTTAGCCTCATTGTAGCCTGTAGCTCTTACTGCCTCTCTGTGCACTGCGCTCATGTGTGTGCGCTTGCGCGAGACCAGCGAAAGCGCAAACTACAATTGTTGCCAGCACTGGTTTATGGATGAATTCTGCACTGGGACAAGGAGCCATGCTACCACATTCAAAATACACAAAGTTATAGTTTCAATTTAGAAAGTGGCATTTCTAATAAAATATTTGTTAAAACATTGGTAAAACAAACAAGGACAATTATACACATACATACATACATACATACATACATACATCTTCAAGGAAAAAAAAACATAGTTACAGTTTGATGCTTCTGCTGTTGGGGATTTCTGGTCATGGTTAAATCAATATTGTTAATACAAATGTATACAAATTATATGTACTCATGTAGGGTCTTGTGATATGATGATAAAATATATTTTTCAACCAGTTAAGATTTCTCTTTACTATTTATACTGAGCAAGTCATTATTTGGCTCTCTGGTTGTATTAGATCACTGAAGGCAATACTGCAAATTGATCAGCAACAGTAGAAACATGCTACATAAACACTCTAAATTCCCCTTAGGTGTCAGTGTGAAAGATCATCTATCTGTGTTATTGCTGCTGATAAACTATACTCCACCTCTCGCCCATTGTACACTGGAATTGACTTCAGTCCCCCACAACTCTGAACAGGATGAACCAGATAGGAAATGTATAGTTGGAGTTTTGTATCACTGTGGTGAATCATATATATCACAACATGAAATTACACAAACAGTAATAGATTTAATCAGTGTTGTCCACCCTTATGGACACACTTACACAAATTATAAGCATCAATACCACAATTATTTTTCAGTTGTGTAAATAGTTTGTATATTTCTTTAAAAGTGCTAAGATTTAAAGATTTTGTTTTAATTTCACTTAAGCAGAAACAAATGTGAGGTTCTTAATTAATCTGGAGTGTGTTGTTTTTTTGTTTCATTATATCTATCTTTTGATGTGTTTTAAGCTTCTCAGCACACTGAAAAATGTTCTTGAAAATATTTGCTACTACTTTTTGGGGACAAGGGATGTTTTCTCTCAATACAATACTAAGAATTGTTGACATATAGAAATTAAACAGTGATACTGAAAATTACTTCTTGTGTTGGTGAAGAAGATGGATGTTAGATTAAGTTGCCCTGCTAATGTATTTCTTTTGAGAATTTGTTTTGCTTTTCAATAAAGTCCCAAATATTCCACATTGCTGCCTTTCCTGACTCCACATATATGCTTTTTTAAA